TCGCGGAATTTCATTTATCACGGTAGGGTCTAGAACTGATTAACCACGATAAACAAGGGTTCACTGTAATTCCAGGTCTGTCAGCTGACCTTTATGACAATCTCCCCACTGCTCTTGGGGGAATTCTGGTAAGCTCATGTTTTAATAGTCCATAGAACATTATAGTTTATGGTGTAAACACTAGCATGTGCCCTTGAATTTTGGGGTGGTATTTTCACTGCTTGCCATGGTTCTTCTAAGAAATGCACCTTCCTTTTTATCATGTTATGTCACTGAGACTTTCAAATAAGGGAATCTCTCTGCCCTCGTTATCCTTTTAGGTCCTCTTAAGTCTGTGCCCAGGCCCCAGTGTATTTCTTCACAGCAAGCTGAGAGATTCATTAGTCTCTGGAAGCCTGCCTACAGCAAACTCAAATCTGCACACAGCCAATTGTTTTAGAAATAGCCACACTGTGTTTGGGCATTTACAGCCTGCCTGCAATCATACTGTGAGAAATGCACTCAAAGTCTTGTCTTGTATCCATTTATTGCTGCTAGGTTTCTTGGAGTCGATTCCAATGAATGGTATCCTTAGTCCTGGTGGCTATGCATTGGGTTGCTAACTGTAAGGCCAGAAATTCAAAACCACCAGTTGCTCTACAGGAGAAAGATGAGGCTTTCTAATCCCATAAACAGTTACAGTCTCAGAAACCCACAGGAGCATTTCTACCCTGTCGGGTTCGCTATATCTTATGGATATCTTATGAATCCCATATTATTTGGGACAATATTGCTTGTAACTGGGAAAACCTTTTGCCACATGAAGAAAGTATAGCAATGGGCTTACACTCACGTAATTCATTGATCAGATTCTGTTATCCCCAACACCAAAAAGGAGTTAACTGATAAAGAGTTGGAGTGCATTACTAAAGGTTAAATGATGATAGCCCATGGGATTGGGGTACTTTCTTACAAGACGTGGTATACGATTTCACAAGTGTCTATGTTACTGGGCTCTCTCACTGCAAGTCAAGATACATAAATTCATGAATAAGGCACAGATTGGGAGTGGTGGTCCCCTTCCAGTAATGCACTATTATCCTACTTTGAGGAGCTCTGCTTGTACAGTGGTTATGAGTTAGATTGCTAAGGTTGGTGATTTGAGCCCACCAGTTGCTCTATGGGCGAAAGATGTGGTCGTTGGCTGCCATACAAATTAAAGCCTTGGACACCCTATGGGGCTGTTCTCCTCTGTCCTGTGGGGTAACTGTGTGTCCAAATAGAGTCAACAACAATGCGCCTGGGTTTTGTCGATCATTTCATCTCTATATCAGATACCAAATTTTTGCTGCTACATGGTAGTAATGACTGGAGGGTCTAGAACAATTTTGAAATGTATTTAGAAAGGGGAAATGACACAATGGCAAGGGATTTTTTTTGTTGTTGTTTTTATCCCACTTTACGAATGTTTGCTTCCCATCCCGACCACCTCAGGCTGATCAGATTTGGAAATCCTATACAGTGAACCCTCGCCACTTCGCGCTTCGACTTCCACAGCTTCACGTTATCGCGGTTTTTGTGTAACAGCGCATGCTCTGTCACTACTGCCACTGATTGGCTCATACTGTACACGCTTGATGCCATAAATAATATAA